GAGTCCCCTGACTATTGTCTCACAAAAAAGAGCTGCTGTAATAGGCTGCAGTTCTGAGACAAGTTTGCAAGGCTGGCTTATGTCTGCATGCCATCATTCCAATGGCTCTAAGCTGGGCTCTTCACATTATTTGGGGTTATTTGTGTGTCTGTAATCAGGCAGTGTCAGCTTGCTAAGTACAACGGGCACAATCCACAAATCCACCCACGGAAATGGTGCCACAGGGAGAGGCTTGCACTTGGACGTGCTGTCAGCACAAGTAAAGAACAGCCTATTTTCTGTTTTGCCATCCTTATTCCTCTGTATTTCCGCAYAGAAGAAAGGGAAGTTCCCAAGGAGCCAAAAGGATTCCACATGCCAGTGCTCCTCTCCCTCTCATTATCATACGCTTGCAATCAAACTCTAATTTTTGAAATAAAAAACCTGCAGGATTCTTTATTGGGACTATTAAACCTTCAATCTTCATTATTTAGGACGGCTACTTACCTTTTACTCAATGAAGCCATAATGCAACTACTCCTATAAAAACTATCGAAATGGCTACTGTGGCAGTGAGTAGATTTTCCTCCGTGTAAAATAATCKTCTGTGAGTAAGACATAACTATCATTCACATTAATTAGGCAGCCATATAATGGGGTGTTCAATAGCTATTACATCATTTAAATTCTTCAGTGAGCACCTCAGCCACCCAAGAACTATCCARCTGAACATTTCTGAGTCCATAATTTTGAAATAATCCTGTGGAGGAAGAATATGCGTGGCAGAACGTTGCAGAAAATTTCACCGAGAAAAAAATTAATTTTATTCAGATTTATGGAATTATTTTAACATTTACAAGAAGTGCATAATCCTGTTCTTCCCTCCCTCCCAGAATAATGGTGCTATAAAGTGGAGTCTGTTTTGGGGCTGTACTGTGTGGGCACTGGGGAATGTCTGAGGTGTAGTCAGAGGCCAGGGATGGCAGTGGACACTCACACACACAACAAACATTTCCCTAAACATTGTTATAAACCCCGTCCCCAGAGCTGAGAGGCTCAGCTGAAAAGCCCTGACCCACTGAAAAGTGAATGCAGTCGTGTTTGAGATTTTGATTTTGAAATCTTTTGCCTTTAACAAGCATGGGAGCCCTTAAGCATTTATATTCAATTTTCATTATTGATTTGAAAATTTGGAGGTGAAGCCAAAGTCCTTTGATTTGAATATTATATCATTATATACTTTTTTCTCTTTTAAGGTTAGTTCCTCAGTCAAAAATATGTACATGTGCCATGAAAGTAGAAGCCTACCCTGAGAGTTGAAAGAAATAAGGCTGAATTTATTAACAAATACAGCAGGAAGAGGTTTCTATTAACAGGTCTGTATGCAGGTCTTTACCATGCTGTTCAGATGCCTATAGAAGGGGATGGTTAWTAGAAAATTGGTCTGAAAGTGCCTGAAAGTGTATGAAAATAACATGTTTTAAGTCTGGGTGGTTTGGCAATATGAGAATAGTTCCTAKCAGAATGAGAAAAAGGAATAGCCTAAAAATAGGCTGGGGAGTAGGGCAGGATAGACTCTAAAGAAAAGGCTGTGCCTTTTCCTATCAGTTACGTTATTTTAGCTAATTGTGTACCCATTTCCCCCTCTTTTTGATGGTTATAAGGTACTGTGCCTTATCTGACTGATAGCAGAAAGCAGCAGAGAGCTGTCTTAACAGCTTAATTCAGTATTGACTGTTGCTGGTTTCTCTGTAGTTTTCCATAATCCCTATCCAACAGGCAGAGCCTGCAGAGGGAGGTGTCCAAACCCATCTGTAGGCACTGTCAGGTGCTGTTTGTTCTGCAGCCCAGGAGGTTTGTGTTTGGCAGATGTAGCTGCTCCTCGCAGCAGCAGGGCCTCTATTTCATAGATTSTCTATTTGTCACCTTTGCTCATTGATTTAATTAAACCAGTGCACTGAGGGAAATTCTGCCTCACCAAAATAATACATTTTCATCACACAGGGTAGGGATAGTGACCTAGAACTGGAATTAGCACAGGAATGACAGAGTTAAGGAAGGGAAGCATGAAGCAAAAGCAGATCAAACCTCTGTGAAATTCCATGGAATCAGCTGTTGGTGTGTAATTTGACTTGGTATGTGGGACCATGGGCTGTAGCATGACAGGCTTGATTGGGTTTTAGTTTGTCTGACAGCAGGAATGAAGGTGAGCATTTGTTGTGGGGAATGGAACTGTTCTGGTAACAGGCTCAAAATCAGGTTTTGAGAAAATACYGCTGCTGTTTCCTGAAAGCATGGTCTGGATCAGAATTTTGTGCTCTSTCTCACACTTCTCTAAAACACTGGATGAACCAAATTTACAGAGTTAACATCAGCTACGTGGTGCTGTTATTTCAGTGATTTAATAGGAGTTTCTCAAAGAGAGTCACAGAAGGTTTTGGGGGTTTCCACTGTATTGCTATCTAATCCATCTTTTAGAGGGAGTCCCCCTCAAAGAGAATATTCTGTGTTTCCTTGGATGTAACTTGGCTTTTATTTCAAACATTTCCCACAATAAATTATTTTGAGGTTTCAAACAGGAATTATGGGATTTTTGTTTTTCTRTTCTTGCTTAAGTGTTCAAAATTCAGTAACTGGATTGCTTACAACTGTTTTTAGTTCATATTATTTATAAATATACATACACAGTAAGAGGAAAGCAGAGATGTGTGTAAGGTAGTGAGACATTGCTCAYTGCTGTTCATGATTCCCTGGTTAGTGGGAGTTTAGGTGTAAAATCATTACAGAAGACGTGTCTCTGCTGAGTGCAATCCAGAGCTGAACACATGAAGGACGAARCGTATTAGAGGCAGCTGTGATTAGTTCTCCAATTTTCCAATATTAAATCCATTAAGTATTTACTGTCTCAGCTAATGAGGAGATGGGGAATGGCCGTGAATGGGTGGGGGAGCTGCCATTTCCCAGTTTCTAAGGAAGTTCCTTGACAAGCACTGGGGAGTTTAACGTGTTTCAGGATCCCAGGCGGGATGGGGTTGGTTGATTTGCAGTGGTGGACACTGATCCCAGCTCTGCAGGGGTGGCTCAGCTCGAGTGAGTTACAGCCTGTCAGGAGCACCAGGAGGCATTGCAAAAAAATGCCTCTGCAGGTGATTTACCAGCTGCMGTGAAGGATCCTGAATGCTGGGCTGTTGTGCTCGTTATTCATCTGTCACCTCTCTGTGCCACTAGGCTGGGATTGCTTTGAGGAGCCCTCTGACATCTCCTGGGCACCCTTCACCGTAAATAACAACAGCCTTGCTCTTAGCAAGGCATTGCCAGGCAGCGTTTGCTTTGGTGGTCACTGAAACAGTTTAAAAACTGTTTTAAAAACAGTTTTAAGGACTGGAAGTGTCAGTAGCAATGGGAAGCTGTCTTGTGTTCATCTCCATGTCCATGTGGTAGAACATGTAATGTCCTTCACAGCACAATGATACATGATTGTGCCTAATTCCAATTTGTATGGCATCCCCATTAATGTCTCTTTAAGCCCTTCATTAAAGGCCCTTAATGTTAATTAACTGGACTATGCCAATAAAGTTCTATTAGCTTCCCCCAATTAATTTAATATAATAAGCATTTAACAGATGTCTTAATTAGGTGCTACATTGAAGGCTATGAGCAAAATTAAAACTAGGTCACTGTCTTGAAAGTTTCTGCTATGATTTATGGCTTCTGCAGCTTTGTTTGTTTTTCCTTCTGACCTCTTACAGGAAACCAAGCAATTTAATTTTAGAGAATGTTGAAAAGAGTAATGGGTGCAACATAAAATAACTTATGTGCAACAACTTAACACATATTGTTCTTACTTCACAGATAAAAATCCTCATTGGTGTAAATGACTATTTCTCCATATAAAATATCTGTCTCTAGCAAAAACAGTGTTTTCCCCATCTAAAGGGCAATACTTCCWATAATTGCAACAAAGATTTTTATTTCTGTACCAACTGCTTACATTTCCTTATCTCAAAGGATCTTTTTTGGAAAACCTTTATTGCCCACATTATGTCTTTATGCATTCAGTGATGGTGAGTGTGGTTTGTGTCTGAGGGTTTGTGATAGGGACATGCAGCTCTCCCATGACCTCTCCCAGCAACAGATCCAGAAAGGAAAGGGGAGCTTTGGAGTCCAGTAAAGTGTTTTTGTAGGACTGGGCTGGAGGTGATGATGAGTCCTGGCATTCTCCTGGCTCAGGTGCCCCGCAGTGCAGGTAAGAGCTCTGGCTGCCCTCCCAAGCTCAGTTACTCAGCTTTGGGGGTGATTATGTGAGGAAAAGCTGTGCTCTCTTAAAGAAATGAGCCTGGTTGACTACAAGTGCTTCGATGGTGACAGGGAAAAACTTTTCCTAGGTCTGAGTCTTTCATCTGATATTGAAATTGATTAAAAGCTTCTAAAAAATTACATTTGTAGCAAAACCGCCATAGAACCACTGTTATAACAGAAAAATGTTAAATGATCTAAATACAGGGGTCGCTTCCACCTCCCAAACACATAAAATCTGACTGGTCAATGAGAAATCGTAATCTGGGCAATAAAAAATAAAGTATACAGTAAAAAATACAAAAAGGGCTGATGCTACATGAGGCACAATTGCTCTGTGGACAGAGCTTAAATATTCGTAAGGCAATTCTGTGGGTAATTGAAATACAAGATTGAATGGGGGTCACTTCCATCTCTGAATTTCTAGCTTCAGGTGCTTCCCTCTTTCGTGCTGTGCTGTGTTCCCTGCACTGTGCCATGGCAATGCAYAGGGAACAGAGCAGATATGTCTCTATTTACTCACACAGACACATCTGACCAAACCTGAAAACAGCAGGGTGTCAGAGAGCACTGGGGAGCAGACAGCTCTTAGGGCTGCATGACAGGATGGAATGTTCACATTACACACACATGGGATCTGTAACAGTGCCAAGCACAGCAAGGAGATACTCCAGGTAAGTAAAACCTGTCAGCTCAAACTGTTTACCTGCACGTGCCTGCAGCAGRCAAAGGTGCTGATGTTGGTCAGGAACAAAGATTATAAAGAGCAGCTGTCACCACCTGCACTCTCACTGCCAGCATAAAACAGGCAGCTAAAGCCCAATTTATACAGAAGGCAACAATAGTATTTATTACAGAGTTACAAGATATAATTTTCACTGTACAAATTTACAATTAGAAACTAAAATAGAAGATAGTTAATACTAACCATGTAACTTTATTAAAAGCCAGAACATTATATACAAATTACAAAACAGATACAACCAATTTCAACAGTCTGAGAGACTGCTTAAAGACAGCAGATACTGCTTATTCTTCAGTAAGAAGAAATGCTTTATGAATATTTCACATGGCTGTTGCTTTTCCAATCTGCCAGAAAATCTTCTCTTTGAACTACAGGAARACAGCAGACATTTCTGTGAATGCTTCTGACTTTCCATAAAATYATAAGTCAATAGTTCCTTTCAACTTGAATTTTTTTGCAGATCGCTCACTTGCTCTGAGCAAGAACTTGCTTCCATAGATGTAGGAAATGAATCCATCAAGCTCCAAGCTAAATACGTTGTTGAGCTTGGGAACAACTGAAAATGCAAAAAGACACAAACTGACCAAAGTGGGCTAATGTAAATCCCTGTTATGAAAATATACTGACATTATTCACCTGTACATTTGAGCTTCGCCGCATTTCAAAGTTTTTATGCTTTGGCAAAAGAAAAATAACCCAGACCTCCAAATTTAGCTGGAGTTACCAAAGTTAGTGCTCCTGCAGTAGCATATAGTTAAGTGTTGAATTTTTTTAAAACTGCTCATTTCTAATGAGATGTCTTTTAGGTAAGGTACCGGGCTGTTGGGTGGTAAGTGACTTCAGCCACTCCATGCAAAGAACCAAAAGCACTGGTATAAACAAATGTACTCAGAGGTGCAAAACRAATAGTGTGTTGAAGAATCTTTTCAATCATTCAAGTCATGAAGAGAACTGAAACAAAAGTGTTACATACCTTTTAACTTGTCCTCTTTAGTGATAATTTTGAAAACATGTTTAAATTCCTGTAGAATGATTCCTGTTATCCCGACATAAGAGGGGCACTTCGATTTTGTAACTGAAAGAACAGAAATACATATTAGAAAATTTCAGATGTACTTTATTTGCTCTTCTTCTGTTGCCTCAGCTGTGTAATTCTAGAATTAGCAATGCTGAAACGAATTTAAAAATAAGCACCTGAACTACAGGGGCATCTACTTAACTTCAGGTGATGTTATAAAAGCAAACAAACAGAATACCTGTAACAAGAGCTCCATGGAGATCAGCTTTTAGCAGCTTGCCCTGAATCATATGGGGCTGCCTTGAARAAGAGAGTGGGATTAGAGAGGAAGAAAAAAAATCATATGAACTGTCAGGCTTAGAAAAGGTGACCATGACTACTATAATCATGGTCAAGGTTTACAGAAATAATACTGTATCCTTATCAATTAACTACAGTTTCAAGCAGTAACTCAAAACTGCAAGTATCTACTATATAAAAACCTAAAACCACTACATTTAAAATATGTCAACATACGCATCGGGTTTGAGTCCATGGCACAGGTCCCTGATGTACTGTTTCCAGAGCTCATGGAGTGGGAGGAAGATGGCATATCTGCAATAAAAAAAAGTATTAAAAACTAACCCATTGGCTGATAACTGAAGTAATCTGCATATCCACAGATGGATATAAGTTACATAACCTGCATAAGTTACCTAACCTCCTAAGTTACCCTGCAAGGTGACTGACTCCAAAACCAGCTGTGTTACTTTATGAAACAAACATGAAATATGYTCCTATCAACCAAAGCAGTGATGTGTTTTGGAGAGTTATGCTATGCCRAAGACCGAAGATATTTTATCTCCCTGCTTGTTTTTGCTCTCTTTGCAAAGCAGGGGCTTCATTCAACATGCACCACTTGAGGGACCTTATGCAAAATTTTGACTCTGGTCACAGACAATCAACTTTAAAAACTGAAACCAGAGTGACTGTGTTTGGATTTGATTTCCTGTCATCTTTAGGTATACAAAATGAAATAAACAGAAATGAATCCTGTCCCTGTACAGACAAAAGAACTCTTTTCTCACGGTGAAATGCCACAAGTAGCGTCTCAGACTAACTTTACATACCGAAAGGTTCCTATCCTATGCATGTGCTGCTGCTTTTACATACTTTTGATGTACTTCCTCTTTACTACACAGAGAAAGCATTTAAATGTTACCTTTGCTGTTCAGGTTCAATTTCAAACAGACGCARCTCTCTCCTCTGCTTGGCAGTAAAACCTTTTGTCTTCTTCCTCTTTTGCTTGACCTTTTTTTTGGCATAATGCTCAAGAACTACWGCCTTCCTAGTTAACATATCCTGGATAGCTTCATCTTTCATTTTGGGCATGCTGCGCTTCAGGAAGGCATGTACAAATGTCTTGGCTTTTTCTGAGTCCTGGGGCTAAACACATGTGAAAGGACACAGTAATTTTAATTAAACTAGAACTTGCTACTGATCAGTATTTTTATCAAGATGTCAAAATCTTCATTAGAATGGGAGATCTTCCCGTCAACACCAATGGAGGGGGATGTTCCCAGGGCTGAAGAGCCTGCATGCAGTGCCGAGCATGGGCACATCCCGGCCCTCGGGTCCATCCCAGTGATGGACTCATGTGTCCGTTTGGGAGGAAAAACCCATTTTTACATTATATGTAAACGGCACGTTCCGAGAAAGACTTACAGGGGAAACCAGGGGCGCGACCCACCCCGTCCCTTCAGTGCCTAGCGGGGTTAATAAAACCGTGTAAGGGAGGCAATCCCAGGAAAYTCCCGGGGCGCTCGGGGCCCGGGGCTGGTCCGTACCTGCAGCCGCAGCTCCCCGSTCTCCTCGGGCGGCAGCGGGCGGTACAGCTGCCCTGCAAGGCACGGCGGGCCGGGGTCAGCCGGGGCGGGGGTCAGCCCCATGCCGCACCCTCCACCGCCACCGCCGCCCGCCCTCCACCGCTCTCCCCTCAGCCCTCTCTGTCCCCTCCTCTCCCCCTCGTCCCTCTCCCTCCATAGCTCTCTCTCCACTCTCCCGCACCCCGCACCGTCCGTCCTTCTCCCCTGTCCACTCACCCTGACCACTCACTGTCCGTCCCTTTCCCCTGTCCCTATCCCCCCTCTCCCCAACCCTCTCTCTACTCTCCCCCTATCTCCTCTCTCCTCTCTCTCCCCTCCGCCCGTTCCTCTCACCCTCCATGGCGTGGCGGCGTTCCCGGCGCGTGCCGATGACGTCAGCGCGCGCATGCGCAGAGCGGCGCTCCGGGCTGGCCACAAGGGGGCGCTGCCGCCCGCGGAACCCGGCGGGATCCCGTGAGGGGAACTGCTACCATAATGTGGTTATTATTTATTGTACTGATAAACTCTCTGAGCTGGGAGGCACTGAGCAGCAGGTATTTCACTTACTATCATGGGCGAGTTTCTTTTTCAAAGGTCCTGTCCTGTCAGTCATACCTTCTGTAACACAGGCCAGCTCATTTGTGTCTCCGTGCTCACGGACACAGGCAGTGCAGTCTGTTGTTGCACTATTGATGTGTTCGTGTCCTTCCCGCAGTAACAGCACAGTCTGCACACTCGTGATTAACAGCTTGGACACGTCAATCCTCACTTCTCTCTCTCCCTGCAGTCATTCCCCTCACAGATGCTGGGATAAACATTTCCACCTTTCCATGCTGCAGTCTCCTCACCTCCCACTTTTGTTGCCTCGTTTGTTCTGGGGATCTCCTTCCCCCTCAGGGTTTGCCAGTGTGCAGCTGCTGCCCAGGCTGTGGGGCCATGGCAGGCACAGTGCTCTCTGCCCTTACCAAAGCTCCTGCCACCCCACCTGTCATGGTAGGAGAGAGAAGTTTTTCCATGTCTTATCCTGGCTGCCACTGCAGGCAGTGTCTGGCTCTGTTCTCAGCAGTTAACAGGGTGTCAGATCTGTTCCTGGATCTGCACATCCAGCAACATGAGATCTTTGATTAAATCAGCCCCTATGTTTCTAGCAATCAAGGTAAAACATAAGAAGATGCCWCTAGCTGTGAGGTTTACATGCTCCAACATATCAGGGCCTTTTTCCTCCCAGGACAGGACAAAGTCCTGCTCTCTTATAACACAGAATATCTTGAAATCAGAGTGGCMAGTTCCTTTTCCTTGCTAGTCCAGTCCATACTCCTGCAGTCCTCTGCTCATGCATGATTGTTCTCCAAATTCAGAAGAGATTTATATTCTTGTCACATGGTGATATTGGCATAGCAGATAATTAAGCACTGCTTGGTAAAGGATATTTGGGGAGGGAGTTGAGGCAGAGTGTAGGAAAGATGATGATTTTGTTGAGTGCTGCAGTGGGGCACAAAGGTACTAAAGTATCCCTAACAGGGAATGAAATAGTGGATCTCTCTGGGTGTGTGTAACGGAGGCAGGGCCTGTCTCTGCAGAGTATTAAGCATGAACAGCAGCTGGTTTGTAACACAGACCTCCTGGCATTACCTAAAGTACATTACCACAGCAAGTGGATCTCTTGGTTTTACAAAGCATGGACTCCTTGAGTTGTCATTGCGACTACCAGAAGATCAATTTTCATGAATGGAGTACCAGGATAAGCGCTATGGGTCTTTAGGGCCATATGAGTGCTCCTTCGCTRGATTTATGCTGCAATTCTTAGGGCACTTCAGGGATTAATAGTCAAATCAGTGTTGGCAGTGCTGGTGTTGTAAATCCAATGATCCAGGCTAAACTGGTGCCTGGGGAAACCAGTCTCTTCCAGCAGCTCTACATCTTCATTTCCTGATTTATCTTCAGATATAAGGGAGGGAGTGAGATCAGCGTGTTAGTGTGTGTCCCAGCAAGAAGACTCTGCGTCAGGAGTCAAGACTCACATCAAATAAACATGAAAAAGAATAGGTGAAGAAACTAAGAAACCAGAGAATAGGAAAAGGCAGTTTGTAGATAAGAAAAAGAAGGCTCAGGGAAATGAAGAAAGACAGGTAAGATGTGAATATAAAGTGATGTGGAAATATACCAACAAAAGTGTAAAGCATGTTTCAAGATGTGCAGAACCTGTCTTAGTATCTTAGAGTTTTTGAAGCTTTTTACTTTGAGTAAATCACCTTGGAATAGATTTGTAGTGATAAAATTCTTTGGTATGCATTATTAATACCATGTTATAGGTGCCAACATTAGCATTTCTTATCCAGTTTAATCTATTAACTGGCCTTATTTATTGCACTCCAAAAATAATAATAAATGCCCCCACCTACGCACACTTCCTCCATGAACACAACCTTCCTGTCTTCCCTAGGGGAGGATATTGCTGTACCTTTTAGGGCTGCTGAACTGCAGGGATGGGCAAGAATCAGTGTGCAGGCCAGGCTGGGGAGCAGCAGAGTCCTGGGAGAKCTGGGTGGCTGTGGAGCAATTACAGAATGAGCTTTATGGTGACAGTCACACAAGGCTAAAGCTTGAGCAGTGGGGTGACCAAAGACAGTAATTAATGCCATTTGCATGACACAAGAATAGCAGAATTTTAAAAAAAGAGTRATTATGAACTGAAGCGAGTGATGAGCGTGAAGTTAAGTGGTGTGTGCAAAAAGTCACTGGGCTGTAATCACTGTTACACTTTTGCTGACTGTCAGTGATGCAGGAAATAAATACTGTAATTCTCTAGAAGGACTGTCTCAGCAAGCGCTTGAGCCCTCAAGATCAATACAGTTTATTCCTCTTGTCCAAATTGTATTAGCAGCTGAATTTGGTCCCTCRGGATATCTATGCTGGTGAAAATAATTTCCATTTTAAGCCTTCAGATCTTATTTCCTCTATCCAGATAACACAATTTCCACTCAGTTCCCACAGCTGTGCTGAAGCAGTGTCCATCCAGTTTGTGTCAGCCCTGCCACCACACYCCACCACCTCCTGCCTGTGGCTGGCCTTGGCATCCTGCTCCTGACATTGCCTTTGGGCCTGGAGGGAGCTCTGTGTCAGTGCTTTTGRGGCCCCTTGGCTGACCATACCCAAAACACCTGTTCTCTGCCAGCACTGGCTGTGCAGGCAGGGCCTTTCCTGGGAGCCAGTACTCAAGGTTTCCTGAAAAAGCCTTTCTAGGAAAAGGTCATGTCTGGGAGTGGTGGGTAGATGGGCAGGGTAAGAACTGCTCTCCAGCCCGGTGGGTACACAGACTGATTGACATGAGTAGCCTGAATTTTCGTCTCATGTCAGTGTAGGTTTGCTAGAGGGAGGTTTGCCATATTTGTGTGTGTAAGCCCAAGCTCTTGCATTAGAGGCTTGGTTGACTGATTTTAGATTGCTGTGTCTGACTGATGAGAATCATCCTTCAAATGTTTCTTTTCCATATATTTTTCATTAATTTTCTGCTTTATCAGTTCACCCTTAACTCATGGTTTGTCATCGTGTACTGCCCCCGCCCCAAGCTGATAAGCTGTCCTTCCCAGCGGAAGGTTCATTATTTCCTCRCAGTCCTGGCTCCTTCTCATCTCGAATTGCAGCTGCCGCTTCAGGGCACAGACAAAAGACYGGCTTGTCTGTGCCTGACAGAAACAAGAAAGCGCTCGGAAACATAGTCCAAATAGATCTCAGTGGCACAGAAATCAGAAACAAATAATAGTCCAAAAATGTTTTCAGAAAATCCAAACGATTTAAAAGCCGTTTTTTTAAAAACCAAACAGGTTTTTGGCAGGCTGTGCCCTGTCCCCACAGCTGCTCACACTAGAGGGCAGCCCGAGACTGTCTGTACACTGCTGTTGGAAATCAGCTCACTGTTTCAGAGTAAAAAAAATATGTAAAACAAAGGTTACAAATTGTTTCCTCTTTTGGAAAAAACGTGCCTGTTTGCAGTTTGGTTTAGCGCACAGGACTGCAGTTTCCCCAAACACTGACCTCTTCTGCATCACAGTAACATTTATCAGTGAGAAGAGGATTTTGAAGGAATTCAATTTCACCACAAGTTAAGGAGGCCACTTTTTAAAACCAGTATATTCTTATACCAAAATAAGAAGCTATATCCGTCTTTAAACTATTTCAAATACGGGCAACCCTAGAATAACTGGAAATAACTACTGCAATCTGCAACTACCCAGCCTTGCCTCACAGAGCAGCACTAAAATAGCAACATTTGCTCCCCAGAACACTAACAAGCAGTCAGAAAAACTGAGGCTTTGGCAGCTGACATTTGGTTTCCCTGCATGCTGGGATCACATATGATCCAAACACACATCAGCATGACAGGCACCACTTCTGCTCCCGAACAGCTTGTATTTACTAATTAATACCAGCATTCAGCATTCATATATTATTCCATGACAGTGTCTCACAGTCATTATTTTTGTTATGCTTTGAGTCTCATTTAGATATTGTTGAATATTTTGTTTTAAAAYTTAATTAACATTGGCTCATATGGATAGGGATGTATGATGCAAAAATGAGTATTAAGTATAATAAATTAGAAAGCAGTGATAGTCATTGGACCTGTAGCAGATTGACTAGTTTAATGTATTTCATTTGGTTTTGGTTAAACTACATGAAATTAACATAATTCATTAAAATTTGAAAATAATGCAGGCTTATTGAAAACAAAAGCTGTATATTAAACTAATTTGTGCTTCACTGAAGCATCTTTTGCTGTGTTTGCTAGGAGGTGCTTGAGTCAGAGGCAGAGGGAGG